CTTTCCCCTCCCGGTGGCTCTCCGGCGCGGGGCGGAGCTGCGCCGGGGGGTGCTCCTCGGCGGCGACGGTCTTGCTGGCGGCGGGGTGCCTCGTCGCGGGGTGGGCGAGCGGCTGGACGGCGGCGGCGTCGTTGGCGGCGGGGTGGCGCTGCAGCACGTCCTGGCGGCGGAGTTCGGCCCAGATCTAGGCCCTACGGGCCCATCTAGTCTTGGCCGGGCCGGCGGCGGGGCGGGTCGGCGGCGTGATTCCCGAGCGGCGGGGGAGCGGCGTTGCGCGACGGGGGCTGGCGGTGCCGAAGCCAGCCTGCTGCAGCACTGCGGGCGGGGCTTAGCGGGCTCGCTTCGGGCCCGGCCGGGCCAGGGGTGGCCTGGTTTGCCCCGCTGCCGTGTCCGGTCGGCTACCGCGACGGTGCCGGAGGCGTGGGCTTCTCGCACGACGGCGGTGGAGGTGGTTCCCTCCCGCTCGGCCTTGGTGCTGCTGCTCTCGGCGTGTGGCGCTTCTCTCCGGTCTTCTCGGCCTCGTGTTGGTGCTCGTAGCGAGACGGCGTGGGTGGCGGCGCAACCTCGATGGCGCACTGGGCGGTGGTTTGGTTGGTAGGCTCCGGATGGGCGGTGGTGTTTGGCGTGCGGGAGAAATCCTTGCCGGCTCGTCCGGCTCCGATGCGGTGACACCGGCGGGTGCCACCATTCCTTCTTGAAGGGTGTCGGTGGTAGCCATTCTCCATTTCCCTCCGCGTACCGGGGGAAACCCTAGGACTCGTCCGGGCAGCAGCGTCGTCGACGTCGCATACCTTCTTGGAGGTGCTGCTTGGTACGCGGCACTCGGAGCCTCGGGCCGTGGTGTGTGTCTCTGGAGGGCGTAGTGGTGGCGGGCCGTCCGCGCTTAGTCGAGCTGCCGTTGTTGGCATTTGTTTCTTCTTCCTTTCTTCTTTGGGCTTGTTGTGCTGCTCGCCCCAGCATCGCATTTGTACTGTTGGTTGGTGCTTTGGAATACAAAGCGGGGGGAAACCCTTTTTCGGTAGAAGTCCAATGCACTTCCACTCTATTCCTCTCTACCCTCTGTCACCAGTCATCTAAAATTCATTTGGTTCTTTCTTGTGCATCATCAAAAGTCACATATTGCGGAGCACACGACATCTCAATTTCAAATTTTTTTCTACATTTTCGAATTCCTGCAATCCAAAGAAGCCCTAACCCTTCATCCAATAATTCTGGGTGCTTTTGCACTTTGGAGTTTCATCGGAAGTTGGGAAAATAATGTGGACATGGAATATGTGACTGTAATCTATATATCTAAGAAAATACAAGATTCAACTATTTACCTCTCCCTAGCAAATTATATATTTATCTCTTTTCATTTTTTGACATGACAATGTCATTCAAGCCAATTAGTATTGAAGGTTATTAATTTATCTAAGAAAATACAAGATTAAACTATTTATCTATTCTTGGCAAAATATTTAGTTATGTCTTTTAATTTTTTTTCACATGACACAGTTGTCATTTCACTCAATTAGTATTGCAGGTTGTAAACTCTTATCATTCCTCACATTACAATATTTTACATTTGGTGAAAACAGAACGAAAAATGCAAAACAACTATCTAAAACCTGGACATGGTTCGAATTAAAGGTTGTAGGAAGTTTCAGGATTAGCATGGATTCTTTAATAGTTGGTGGAAGAAATCTGACCAAGTTAAAGCTAAGCTTTGGGTTGTCGCTAGCAACCACAAGTTTGTTCATCCGGACAATTGGTTGACTGGTTAAGTCTAGGGTTTAGATCTTTTCTCCATGGGCGTGATCCTTTTGTTATTTAGGGCATTGATCTATTTTTTTCTATGTTATGATTTGTGTAGGCGTTTTTCTCCCTTCTATATATGTTATACATATGCAGCTCTCATGCATGGTTTTAAGAAAATGTCAGACCAGGCATCATTGTTATGAAGTAGAATTATTTCTATAAATTTTCCAAGAGATTAATGCCACTGACCTTTTTTTGTTGGATTTTTATCATTTATGTCACTAGTTGTGTCCCACTACTCTGTTTTGTCATTAGAAATTACAACTGCTCAAAAATACTATTAGACAGCTAAGAAATGCCATCGTTCAGTTAGATGTTTACTAAAAAATGTCATTAGACACCATTACTGTCAGGTCAAACGCGTTGACCATGTTATATGACCAAACTACCAC